TTTCTCTTTATGATTGTTCTGTTACAACATTAATGAAAAATTTACAAGAATAGTTGAAAAATTACCACACTAGTGGTACAAATTACAATATTAGTGAAAAATTTTACAACAATAGTGGAAAAATTTTTATGAATGTTTATGATCTATCACAACAATTTGATCGATCAAACAACAATTTGATTGATTTTTCAAAATTCAATTTTAAAATATGTTTAATAAAATTTTAATTTTAATTTTTTTTAAAAATAAAAATTAAAAAAATTTTAAAATTGAATTTTTATTAAACATATTTTTGATAGATCAATTAAACAAATAAATTTGGTAACACATACCACTGAGTTTGTAATTATTCTCATAAAAGAATCCATTCAAATTATAAATATTCCCATAAAAGTGGTAAATAAGATATGTGTAATTGATCTATCAAAATTATGTTTAATAAAAATTTAATATTAATTTTTTTTTAAAATTTATTATTATTTTTGTTTATCTCCAAAATATTTGCGATCTATCTTAAGATCTTGTGATTTATCGCAAGGTTGAAGTAGTCTCCCCCAATTTTTTTTGAAAAACAGTAAGTTTGTGATCGATCAAATCTCCCCATGAAATTGTAAATATTTGAATACATTGAAGTTGTAAAGATTTTCACAAATTTGGTAAACATACCATTAAAGTTGTAAATATTTCTCCAAATTTGATAAATATACCACTGAAGTTGTAAATCTCCCAATGAAATTGTAAATATTCCCATAAAGAATCTATTAAATTTGTAAATATTCCCATAAAAGTGATAATTGATCCATCGAAGTTGTATATCTTCTTGGGTTAGTTGTAAAATATTCATAAAATAAGCACACACAAGTGTGTATTGATCAAATCTCCCCATGATCGATCAAATATATCTCTATGATCGATCAAATCTCTCCATGAAGTTGTAAATATTTGAATCCATTAAAGTTGTAAAGATTTTCACAAATTTGATAAACATACCACTGAAGTTGTTAATATTCTCACAAATTTTGTAATTTTATTCACTATCTTTATAAAATTTTCACTAATGCTATAATTTTTTTCACTATAGTTGTAAACTTCTCACTAATATTATAATTTTGCCTTGTAATTTGGAATTTTTGGTATAGTACCGAAAATTCTTATGGATGTACCGTAGCCTTCTCCTACAATTAGTGAATCTAAGCTAAAATTTATATGAGGCAGTAGCTTTCTTTACAAAAAGACTAGATAATAATCCAAATTGTCAATAGTTTTGTTGTTTGTGGTAGAATAAAAGAATCTTAAAAGGTCAGCTCATTCTGTTTGAAACTTTTTGGATGAAAATTCTATCTCGGAGTAATAATTGATCACTCAGAATTCTATTTTTCCCACCATTAAAAAACTTAATTCCAAAGTACATATAATACTCAAGATTTTTTTTCTAAGGTCACTCCGAATCGAGATATATATTCTCCATTACATTTCACTTAATTTTATTCAATGATAGATCACTCACTGTATATGGTTAACCAGCCCATGTATAAAAAATAGATCCTACTTATTATTGAGTGAGTTCACCCCAAAATTAACCACCACTTAATTAACTTCTCTTTTCAGTTTTTCTTCATACTTAGTATGAATCTAGGCTCTCCCTCTTTCTCTCTCACGCAGCGGAACAAAGACACAAAGAATACTACGATTTTAAGTGCATAGAACAAATACTCTAAATTCACACAGAGAGCAATAAGAGAATACCTTTGAAAAATGTGTATTATTCAATAAATAATTAGTATTACATAAAAGAATATATATATTTGAACAGTCAAAACCTTAATTGTCGCCATAATAAAGGTAAAATTCTTAATTATACTAAAATTATAAAAAATGAAAAATTGCAATCTAATTAATTAACATAAAATTACTTATCGTCTGAAATCCAACCCAATTGACGACATTGAATTCAAAATCTCTTATGATTTATTATTGATATTAATTTTTTTTTTTTTAAAAACAACAAAAACGAAATTTTGAAAGTCTAAACAATAGAATTCGACCCAAAACTGAAGGAGCTCCTGGTAAAGCGACGAGTCTTAAACATTGACCCGATCTAAGTCAAACACTACTTGTCCCAATTAATTATGAGTTCGAGTCATTTTAACTCTACTATTTTACTTTTAGTTGGGCCTTGGACAGATGGCGATCGTCCTGCACCAAGTAATCAGCATCTATTTGTTCCACATCACTCTCTGTCATATTTAATCCCTCTGTGGCTTTTCCTCCACCTCCATGGATCATGTTTCCATATCTATCTTTGTGAAAAACCTTATTCCACATTTGTATCCACAAAATTCTAATAAAACAGTTCTCTATACTGGCTTTACAAGGAAAAGAAAGATAAAAATCCACTTTTACATGAAACATGATTTTTCATTTTGATTTAAGTTTTGTGTATCTTAATATTAAGTTGATGATTTTTCTAATTTGATTTGATTTTCATCCTTCATATCATACAATTTTCAGCTCCCAAAAACATATTTCCCACTGAACAGTTGATAAAATGCTTAAAGCAACTAACATGATGAAACTCAGTCCAAGATGCATATAGAAAAAAGTAGGTAGAATTCATAAGTCAATCGAATACACAAAAGTCTATTGACATGGATCATCAAAACAGTGTACTGATTAAGTAGTTCATTACAAATTATTCTACAATACTCTACAACTAAGTGACAAACCATCCAATCCATAGTTCTTCTGAATACAAGTCAACATACTAGAATTTCAAACTACAATAACCACCCTTCAGTAGTCCAACCAAATCTCCCATAAGATCATGAAGGCAAGAGTATTACATCCACTCAGGCACCATTTTATGGACCGAGATCTCATTTAATATGCTTTTTTTTCGTTTTCCTTATTAACGAATCATTTATCATGTATTGATTAAAAATCCATTCATAAGTAGATCTTAATTGAATTCACGATGAATAATCTGCTATTAAAAAATTTTAAGAAAAAGTGTATCCGAGGAATCAAATCCTTGCTTTATGACCTTAACTTTTTCAATCTATTGCTACCCAAAAGCAGAAAAAACCAAGAACATCACCTTATTGGCTTGAAATGAGCTAATAAGTCAATCCAATACACAATTCTATTGACATGCATCCAAACATCACACTGATAAAGTAATTTCATTACAACTGGTACAATAATCTCCAACAAAGTGACAAACCATTCAATCCATAGTTCTCAATACAAGCCAATAACACTAGATTTCAAAGTACAATAATCACAAAAACAACCCTACAGTTCAACCATATCTCCCATCACAATCCCACAAGATTATGAAGACAAGACTACATATATTTCCTTGGGTATTATGGACCGAGATCTCCTCCAATACGTATTTTTAGTTTTTCTTATTAATAAACCATTCACTGAGAAACACACACTTATATATAAGTAGATACTAAGTAAATTCATGATGAATGATCTAAGAAAAGTAGAAATGAGTGGTTCTGGAGGGTCCCAATCCTTGCTTTATGAACTTACTTTTTTCATGTATGGCTACCCTTAAAGGGAAAAACTAGGAACACTTGCTTATGGGCTTCAAACAGAAATTTGAAAGCCCAAAACCTTACCAAGCACCTCAAGAAGCTGAATATGTGCAGTGAGCTGTGGAAAATGGCCGACTGCGTCGATGCACTCGACCATGGATTCACCCTTGATCCTCTTCTGCATGTACTCAACAACTGATTTTGGGGCGACGATGTCGTTGGTGGTCTGGATGATGGTACATGGGGTCACAACCTCTTCAAGTGTGTCACGGTAATCGCTGAGAAAGATAGTTTTGGCCAAGGAGAGTGCAACTTCAGGTCTCATACTCTTGAAGCATTTTTTGAATTTTTCGACAGACTCTGGATCTTTGGCATCCACTGCAATAGAAACAAAATTTGAAGCCCACTGGTAATAGTTGGACTCTATGCTTGAGAAGATCTGCTCAACGTCTGAAGTATTAAAACCACCTTCATAGTCTTCTGAATTAATGTACCTATTATCAAGTAACATGAATTCGTACCATATAAGCACTTGTTTGGAGGAACATGTATCATATATATACCTACCAATCATCTAAAATACATAATAATTCCTGTTAATCAATATAAAATCCAGAAAAAAAACACAAATATCAATGAAAAAAGATAAAAAAAAATGTGGAATTCGTACACTTTAGCTACATGTGTGGTACAGCAGGAACTCATTTTTTTCCTTTCTTTTTGCGACGAGGACTACTCCAATCAAACATGCTTTCAAACTGATGATTGTTTATTTCTTGACTATTCTTTCTTGTTCATGTGTAATTTCCTCTTAATCTCTTTTTGATCTGGTATTTCTAAAGGATAAATCACATTGATCACTCGCATGGTCGTTATTTTTCCACGGTAATTTGTAAAAACCAAGAAAGAATTATTTCAGGGAAAAAAATAAGGTTTGAGAAAGTGAGAAAATAATAAACGAAACCTGATCTCTCTCTCTCTCTCTCTATATATATATATAATCCTTCATCAAAATAAAAATCAACATAGCTCTCTCTTTCTGTCTATATATATATGTGTGTGTGTGTGTATTGATAACCTGGGTGAAGCTCCAATGAGTATGAGCTTCTTGAAGAGCTCAGGTCTCTTGATTGAAGCAAGACATCCGATCAAACCAGACATGGAGTGTCCAACAAACACCGATGGTCCAAAGTTCATCCCATCCACAAGAGCAGTCAAATCATCAGCAAAAGCTTCATACTTAGAATACTTCTCCGCATCATAGAGGTTCGTATCTTTCACGGCGCCGGAAAAAGCCCAGTCGAAGACCAGAACACGACAGTGCTGAGCCAAATAGGGCAACACTTTGTCCCAAACAGACTGGTTACCCCCATACCCATGTGCCAGAATTATAGCTTCGTCGCCGGAGCCGATTATTCTGGCGTTCATTGCTGTGGACAAGCTTTTTCCGGCAATCACCATGTTTGGTGGTTGAACTTGGAGAAGAAGAGAGACGGTAGAAGTAGTGAAGAGGTGGAAGATCTAGAGGGAAATAATCGAATATGAGCTGTATAAGACTGTGTTTGGTATTGTTTTCTGGGGGTTTGGCCCTGCTTATATAGAAACCAAAAGGTTTGATTTACTGTTAATGAGAGATTAGGATTGGTGTCAGCAATATTTAGGAGGTGAAAGTAGAAACTTTTCAAGTTAATTAGGTTTTCTGCAAGTGAAGTGACCCTTTCTGGTTGCTTCCAAAATATCACTTTTTCCATGATATCAACATCAGCATTAGTCATGATTATTATACATACAAACTAACAATAATGCTGCTTAGCGGTTCTGATCGGTTAGTTGTCAAAAATAAAATAAAAATAAAAAAGAGAAACTCTATGGTACCAAAAAAAAGAGTTTTGGTATCATCCGTTATTACTTTGGTAAAATTATAACTCCAGATCAAGAAAAGTCATAATCGATCACAGGAAATTATGATCGATCATGAAAAATGTGGTATCGATTCCGACATTTCATGATTAATCATACTTTTTGAAATTGTAACTTATAATTCAAAAAAATAACTTAGTTTACAAAATTATAATTTTTGACACCATTACTGCAAATAAAAAAGAGGGGGTAAGACGCAAATTTGCATGTGACATGTCTTTTTGATTACATAAAATTCGGGTACAACTCAGGTGTATTATTAGCAAGTGATCGTAAACCGTCCATTCAAAATTTGCATTACAGCCGTTAGTTAAAATAATGCATAATTGAAAACGAATTCTTGTTTTCAACATAAATAATATTGGTTGATCAGATTTATTGACTAAACTAAGTGAAAAAAAAGTCACTGCTAAAATTGGATTCGATATTAAAATCCATCATTAATAATATTACATTTGGTAAATCAATTTGATGAACAAGTAGGATGACCCCTAACTTAAATAGCACGTGACGATCAACTAATTCACTAAAATGCAAGCATTAATTTATATTTAATAATATTATTTATTATTTAAATCAAATTTATTACTATTATTCGATTAACCATAAGTTCAAGTAACAGACCGAGCCCACTCTACAATGGCATGAGTGAACTTTGGGTGTTTTATCGATTCCACAACCCTCACCTGGTCAGCAATTGTCCAGTGTGAGTGGTTTATGAATTCTATTGATTAAAAAAAAAACTTCAAATAAATAAACTAGGTGATGATAGGTTCATTGGACCAAGCCACTAGGCCATTGGTAGCATTTAATGTTGTTGACCTTTTGGTTTGTATTGCAAAGGAGGACCACACATAGGCAGTACTAGCCTCGAAAAAGAAAAATGTTTATATAATAGTGTATAATAATATTGATTATGTTACCTCCCCATTTAAAGTAATTTTGGTATACAGCCAGAATGAGCCTTTTTGGTTTCCATAATTAGGGATTAAAAGTGTTGATTCCAACACCCCAGTTCACCACAATCTAGTCCATAAATTGTAGTATAAGTGCTACTTAAGAAACTATCCAGATGGATATTCCATGGCAGGGAGATTGGATAACTAAGGTAGGTATATATGTTGATAATAGATGGTTAAATCTTGGTTGATAATTTAAACGTCTCGGAGTTTGAACTCTTAAGGGTGATTTAATGATTAAATTTGATTGGTTAGGTTCAAGAGTTCAGCTTATGTTATAAGTTCAGCATGAATAAAGAGCTCAACTTGAGGAGATCCAATGGATCCGGTTCAAGGGAGCTCCACAATCGGTCAAGCTCATCAGGTTGTTGAAAAGCTACATCACCAAGGGAGTGAGCAAAGAGCCTCATCCACACTTCTTTGAAAAGAGTCAACTCTCACGTCATCCTTTGACCAAATCTTATGGAGAGTACCGTAACTGCCTCAATTGTTGAGAAGAGGGCGCCAGCTCCACCAGATTAGTCATTTAGGTACTAATAAGTTGCCTATAAATTAGGAGACGACTATAAATTATAAATTCCGCCAACACTTAGGGGGCATAATACTCAATCGAACACATCTCCGTAACTCTCATATTTTATATCTCACTACTCTTCGCACTCCGACAATAATAAAATACCAGGTGACCCTAACCCTTCAAAGTAGATGTAGGTTACGTTGACCGAACCACTATAAATTCTTATCTTTCTTGTGTTGAACTCTCTCTACTTAATTACTGATCCTTTGATAGTGTGCAAATCTAATTTGTACTTTATCAAAATTTAATATTTAGTAATTCTAAAGATTTAAGTTTAATTTATTTTTATGCTTTTTAAGAATTAATCACCTTTATTCTTATATGCTCTAACATAACTCAAATTACATTGATTAACCTCTGAACTCATAGGAACAATCAACACAAGCCAAAACATATTGCAACAAACAAAAAATTGTCAGCTTTTTGAAAGACGTGGACACGCAACTTTGAATTCAGATTGCTAATAGCCATATTGGGGTGGTCCTAACAAATTGACGGAAAAGAGCTTTCTTGTTGTATATGCGTGTGTGCAGTTGTATACAAGCGCTCTCGCGTGCGTGCGTGTGTGTATGTGAAGTATGAGATGGAGAGCTCAGATCGTTTGACTACACGTGAATTTTGTCCAAACATAACCTTACAATGAAGATCATGCGGCTTGCAAACCACACGAAACCAATGGTATTTTTTATCTCTAAAATATATATTCTTTTGTTAATTTAATTTTTATTGTATAATTATTATTTTTATTCATCGCTTTCACAATATCTTAAAAAATTATAATTATACAGAGAATCGATCAATATAACTCTTAGATAAGAACGACCTGCTTAAACATAAAAGTATATTATATTCCTTTCTTTATTTCTTTTGCTTTTGTTGTCTTATTAGTAGACTGCGTAGGACATGAATCTCCCATTCTTTCTCCGAAAACATATCTTACATTTGTATATCATTCAAAACAATTAGTTGATTAAATTGAAACTCGGGTTTCTGCTTCTTGGTAATCCCAATTTTTTCTCTAGTATGATTCTTGAAGATTTGAAATGATAAATCAAATTTGCACCATGTGGAATTAGTAAATTTGACAATTTATTTCCAAACTAGCTTAGATTCAAATCCCGCTCTTTGATATTTGTAGTGGTTGGGGTTGCGTCGTGTTGATGGTGATTGAGAGTTCAAGTTAGTTTGAATAATAGTTGTGGGTGATGATGTGTGTGGATATTATTTGTGATTTTTGCAATGGTGATTTCAGTGGGATGACATTGATATTATAAGATGAGATATTAAAAATATATACGGCATCTAAATTATATATATAAAAAAAGGTAGGAAAATATGAAGAAAAAAAAATATAAAATGATTAATTATACTGAAGGTCCCCAAAATATGTAATTTTTCTTTTTTTGGTCTCTAATATTTCAATTGCATCATTTTAGTCCCTGAAGTATTTAATATGTTTCTATGTGGTCCATCAAGCAAACAATGTCTAGATTGTTAATGATTTTTTTTTTATAAATTTATCACGTAATACTTAAATATGAGCAAAATAATAATTTGAGTAATTCTTGATCAAATTTCTATTCAAATTTTGATCAAATGACTATCAAAATCACACAGTTTTAATGACGTGCTATCCAAATTTTAGTCCAAAACTACTCGTATTATACAATTTTTGTCAAGAGTTACCCAAATTTTGGTCAAAAGCTATCAAAAATAATTTTTATCCATTTTTAGGTATTATGTGACAAATTTATGATAAAAAATAATTAATAATTTAAATATTATTTGTTCGAGAAACCACCTAGAAACACATTTAATATTTTAAGAATTAAAATAATATAATTAAAATAAAATAAATTTTATATTTTTGAGACCTCTAATATAATTAATCCAATAACAAAATGTATCTCGAAATCGTTAAAGAATATACATAGTTTGCCGGCTTCCAAAAACATGGCCACATGAAAGAGGGAGGGGTTTAAGGAGTTAGTCCGACTCAGTGGGGCCAGGCAAAAGGAAGAGGACAGGACAGGCACACAGCAAAGAGGTGGGGTCCATAGACCGTTCATACCATTCTTAATTTAATTTAAAAATTAAAAGTAATAGGAAAAAAGGTGCCTTTTGTCTTGTTGTGTTTACTGTATTCAGTTGAGATTCATCCAACAACCAGCTTTTTGCCATTAAAGCTGATGGGTCCCCACCATGTTGTTGACAACTTGACTGATTTTTTTTTAATACTGTTGTCGTTTGTTAAAATAACCCAATTCCTATTTAAATTTAAAGTTAAAAATGGATGACACACCAGGGTGAGGGTGAGGGTGAGCAAATTCTGATGTCCTCATGGGTAATCCAATCATGTACTATCCCAAAAGTTGTTGCATGTCAATTAGCAGGTTGGAATGGAACTTTTTAGTTTAAATGAGATGTGGACCGTGCACCATCAAATTTCATTAAGATTTACTCTAATATTTAAAATCGATTTTAATATCCGACTATAAATATTACCTTTTTTTAAAGAAAAATCGTACCTCGATACTATTCAGTCGTAAATAACACACTGATACTATTGAATCGTAAATAACACACTAATGAGTTTTAGTTTACAATTATTCAGTTATAAATGTTGTTCGTAATTTCACCAACTTGGCGTACAAGTGGAGCTGTTAGTCAAACAAGTCTGAGCTGAGCCTGAAAAATTTGATTCCTCAACGACCTGAGTTTAAACGGGACAAAAATAAGTCGAGCTCAAGTATTTGCACATATCGAGTTTAAGTCGAGCTTGCAGTGTTAGTTTTTTAAAGGAGCCTATAAATTTATTCAAATTCGAATTCGTTTAGAAAATGAACCAAACTAAAACAAATCGAACTCAAACAAAACTCGAATAGTTCAATTTGATAAACAGTTCTACATACAAGACTTATGTAGTTTAAGATAGAGAAGTCATAGATAACTTTTACCACATTTTGGAGCGAATTAAATTATGACATACTACTAAAACGAATGAATCTTATGGTGCATTTGGTAACATTTTTATTTTTATGTTTTAAAAAAAATAAAAAATAAAATATATTTTTTTTTTTTGTAATTAAAAGTTGAAACAGAAAACATATTTAGATACAATTGTTGTTTTACAAAATCTAAAATCTAAAAACTAAAAATATAAAATATATTTGGTA